TATGATTTTGTAGATTAATTTTGTACCCTGCCACTTTACTGAAAATGTTAATCAGTTCTAGGAGTTTTCTGGTGGGATTTTTGGGATCTCTTAGGTACAGTACCATATCATCTGCAAAAAGAGATAATCTGACCTCTTCTTTTCCAATTATTACTCCTTTAATTTCCTTCTCTTGTCTTATTGTTCTAGCAAGAGTTCAAGCACTATATTAAAAAGGAGTGGAGATAGTGGACATCCTTGTCTGGTTCCTGATTTTAATGGGAATGCTTCCAGTATTTTTTTCCTTTTAGAATGAAGTTGGCTGTGTGTTTATTGTATATAGCTTTAATTATGTTGAGGTATGTTCCCTCCAGCCCAGTTCCCTCTAGGACTTTTATCATGAATGCATGCTGAATTTTGTTAAAGTTCTTTTTCTGCATCTATTGAGATGACCATGTGTTTTTTGTCTTTGAGCCCATTTATATGATTTATGACATTTATTGGCTTGTGTATACTGAACCACCCCTGCATCTCTGGGATAAAGCCGACTTGATCATGGTGGATGATCTTTTTGATGTTTGTCTGTGTGCGGTTTGCAAGTATTTTGTTGAAGAATTTCTGCATCTATGTTCATTAAGGATATGGGTCTATAGTTTTCTTTTTTGGTTGTGTCCTTACCCAGTTTGGATATTAGAATGATGCTGGCTTCATAGAAGGAATTTGGGGGTTCTCCCTCTGTTTCTATCTTTTTGAATAATTTAAGTAGTATTGCTTGTAGATATTCTTTAAATGTCTGGTAGAATCCTGCTGCAAATCCATCTTGGTCTGGGGTTTTCTTTAGTTGGGAGGTTTTGTTTTACTGTTTTAATTTCCTATAAGTTATGGGTCAATTTAAACTGTTGATCTCTTTTTGGTTTAGCTTTGGTGGTTCCCATGATTTTAATTATCCATCCATTTCTTTTAGGTTTTCAAATGTAACACAGTATAGGTTTTTAAAGCATCCCCTTATAATGTTCTGGATCTTTTTGGTGTCTGTTGTGTTATTTCCCCTTTCATATCTGGTTTTGTTGATTTGGAGTTGTTCTTTCTTTGGTTAACTGGGCTAAGGGTCTGTCTGTCTTGTTTAGCTTTTCAAAGAACCAGCTCTTAGAGTCATTGAGTCTTTGTATTGATTTTTTTGTTTCTATTTCATTAATTTCTGCTCTGGTTTTTGTATTTTTTCTCTGCTGTTGGGTCTGGGTTAAATTTGTTCTCACCTTTCCAGAGTCTTGAGTTGCAATGTTAAGTCATTTATGTGTGCTCTTTCTGATTTCTTAATGTAGGCACTTAGAGCTATAAACTCCCTTCTCAGGACTGCTTTTAAAGTGTCCCAGAGGTTTTGATGCATTGTATTATCATTTTTGTTTAGTTCCAGGAATACTTTTATTTCTTCCTTAATTTCTTCTTTGACCCATTCATCATTCAGGAGTGTGTTGTTTAATCTCCATGAGTTCGTGTAGTTACTAGAGCTTCTTTTGCTGTTGATTATAAGCTTTGTTGCATTGTGGTCTGATAGAATCAGAGGAATTATTTCAATTTTTTTTGTATTTGTTGAGGTTTGTTTTATGCTCCAGTATGTGGTCAATTTTAGAGAAAGTTCCATGGGGTACTCAATACGAAGTGTATTCTTTATTGCTTGAGTGGAATATTTGGTATATGTCTGTTAGGTCCATTTGATGTATGGTATTATTTAATTCAGATGTCTTTTTATTTTTTGTTCAGTTGGAGACAGTGGGGTATTGAATTCCCCTACTATTCCTGAGTTGGGGTTAATCTCTGTCTTAAAGTCCTATAGTATTGTTTTTATGAAGTTGGGTGCACCAGATTTTGGTGATATATGTTCATGATTATAATATCTTCTTGGTTAATTGTTCCTTTCAACAGAATGAAGTGACCCTCTTTATCTCTTCTGATTAGTTTTAGTTTGAAGTCTATTTTCTCAGGTATTAGAATTGCACCCCCTGCTTGTTTCTTAGCACCATTTGCTTGGGATATTTTTGTTCATCCTTTCACCTTAAGGTAGTGCCTGTCCTTGAAGGTGAGATGGGTTTCTTGCAGACAACAAAAGGATGGATTTTGTTTCTTAATCCATTCAGCTAGCCTGTGTGTTTTGACTGGGGAGCTCAGCCCATTGAGATTTAAAGTTATTATTGAAAGGTGTATATTGGTTGCTGTCATTTTGATTTCTGTTTTCATTCTTGGTCTAGTTTTGAGTTTCCACAATCACACCTTCATTTAGTTTCCTTCTGTTTCCCTTGGGGTATAGCTGTTTCTTTCTACATTCTTTGTATTGCTTCAAGTATTCTTTGAAGGGCTGGTTTTGTGGACATGTATTCTGTAAGCCTATTCATGGCATGGAAGATTTTTCTTTCCCCTTCAACTTTAACAGACATTTTTGCTGGCTAAAGTAGTCTACATTGGCATCTGTGGTCATTTAGAACTGGGAATACTTTTGGTTCAGGCTCTTCTGACTTTCATGGTTCGCCTTGATAAGTCAGCTGTAATTCTGATGGGTTTTCCTTTATATGTGACTTGTTTTTCTTTTGCAGCTTTCAGTATTCTGTCTTTGTTCTGTACATTTAGTGTTTTACTATGATATGCTATGGGGAGTTTCTTTTCTGGTCCTGTCTATTTGGTGTTCTATGTGCTTCTTGTATTTGTATGGGCATGTCTTTCCTTAATTTTGGGAAATTCTCTTCTACAATCCTGTTTAAGATCTTGTCAATACTATTAACCTGAAATTCTTCTCCTTCCTCTGTACCCATGATGCACAGATGGTCTTTTCATAGTGTCCCACATTTTCTGCATATTCTATTCCTTTGTTTTGAATTTTTTTTCATAATCTTTGCTTGAGCAGTCCAATTCTTAAATTTTTGTTCAGTCATGATATTCCATTTTCCATTTCATTCATCCTGTTGGTGAGGCTTTCTCCTGATGTTCCAAATTGGCTTATTGAGTGTTTCATTTCCTTCTTCATTTCAGCCTGAGTTTTCTTCAATATTTCTATCTTTTTTGTGAATTCAGGAAGTTTATCCCATCTTCCTTTAGCTCGTTGATTTGTTTGTTCGTGTGTTCTTTAAATTCACTGAATTCCTTGATCATGTTTATGATTGTTCTTTTAAATTCTGTGTCCTGGGTTATCTCTAGGGGGTTCTCCTTATAGAACTCCTCTATAGGACTGTTGGTGTTTGGTAGGAACATATTATTTTGGTTTTCTATATTATTTTTTTTCTGTTGTGATTTTTGCATGTGGATTTCTTCTGTTGTTTCTGATTCTGGTGTGAAGCTCAAGCCTTCTTTTGTTGAGTTGAAGTCTGCTTCTATTAGTAGTATTGGTGTGCCTTGGTTGTTTTCTTATTGGGTATGTAAAGCTGGTTGGCCTAGGCTCCGGGTTTTCTCAGATTTTATATTGCAGGGAACAGATAGCATCAGTCCAGCTATTCAGGAGCTCCTGCAGAGGCCCAAATCAGGTGCCAGTCAGATACTCTTAGGCTTCCGCTTAAGGTCTGGACCCCTACTAGCAAGCAGTCACAGCACAATTTGGGAAGCTTGCTGGGGGTGGGGAGGGTGCCCGATTTAGGCCCTCTTGGGTAGTCTGCAAAGGTCTGGGCCCCTACTATAGGGCAGAAAGGCCTAGCCCTGGGATGGATTTGCTGGTGGTCCCAATGTAGGGGGATGGGCATGGTGTGATTTGGGGAAGCTCATCACCATGCAGAGGTGGGATCCAGGCATTATCAGGCAGTCTGCTAAGTTCTGGGACCCTTCTGAAGCACAAAAAAAAACTAGTCCTGGCCCAGTGGGAGAGGTCACACCTGGTCCCAATGTAGGGGGTTGGGCATGGTGTGATTTGGGGATGCTCACCACCAATTGGAGGCTGGATACAGGTACTCTCAGGCAGTGTTCTAAGGTCTCCCCTAAATATTTTTTAAAAAATAATTCTTGGGCTAGCACCATGGCTCAGTGGGTAAAGATGCTTGCTGCCAAGACTTTTGACCTGAGTTTGATCCCCAGGTTTCACACGGTGGAAGGAGAGAACCAAACCCCACAAGTTGTTCTCTGACTTGCATGTAAACGTGTGCGCGCACATACACACACGATAAATAAATGTAAAAATATTAAATAATTATTTTTACTCTGTGTGTGGTTCTTGAGAGGATGCTGAGGTTATTAAAAAAAAATACAGAATATGGTCTCAATTTGGAAATTTAGCATCGGTAAAGAAATGCTCCAACGATGCCATCTACTGACTGAAAAGAACAGTAAAACATGAGGAAAGCCTTGAAACAAAAAGTCATCAGAATACAGTAAATGCTCAGGAAAAGAGTTCTTAGTATTTCCCATCCCTGTACTATTTCCCATTTTGAGGAAGAAAGTGATGAATGCTGTTTGGAGGAAATGGACTTTGGCCAGAGTTATCTGTAGACTGGTCACGAGGTAGGTGGCAAGCTCACCATCTGTGAGGCAGACATGGTAAGGCTTCTGCTGAGGAACATGAATAACAAGACTCATTTGACACCATACAGAGAACACTAGGGCAAGAAAATTTAGTATACATTGAGCATCCCTAATCTGAAAAAGGAGAAATCCCAAACATTCCAAAATCTGCAATGTTTTAAGAGCTGACCCAATACTACAAGTGGAAAAATCCCCACTTTACTTTGATGTGATGGTCTTCAGTCAAAATATAGACACACTAAAAATACTGTATAGCATAACCTGCAGGTTATACGTATCAGGTAGATATGAAATGTAAATGAATTGTGTTTAGAATTGGGTCACATTTCTAAGGCATCTCATTATATATAAAAACCTGAAATCGGAAACACTTCTAGTTCCCAGAATTTGGATAAAGGATACTCAATTGTAGATGGATGAATGCCTCAGGTCTCAATGTGTTTTCAGGCTCTAAGGGTAAGCTGCTGACCAGCAAGGTTTTCTAGAACCACTCACCATGTTCCAAGCTGCATAGATTTAAGCAGTACCTGCAAGTGCCCAGTAGGCGGTGCCCACGCATTCATTTAGCAGGACAAAGGCCACCAGGGACATCCCTCCATTCATCATGCCAACCAAGAAGCGAGTTAGTGCAAAGAACTCATATGAGGGGGAAAATCCATTTACAATAGCAAATAAGATGTCAAGGGCAAAACCTAGGAAGAGAAAAACAATATTCAACGATCCAGAGGCAAGACAGCATTTGAAGAAAATAATAAATTATATTCATTAGTTTGTGAAATAAACCTTTGTAAATTTAAATTTCCTGAGCTATGTTTTTCATTTTTTATACCTACTTGCCTTGAAAACTATGAAGAAAAACTAAGGTTTACTTTCTTTGTTTTACTAGTTCTGTCAATCACACACGGTTTTCAGCTATTCATAATAATGCTGGAAATTGAAAATCCTCGCTCATACTCGGCCAAGTCCTATACAGCTCATTTGAAATAATCAACACAGAAAGATACAAGGAAACGGATCAGAAAGCTGTCACAATCTTTCACTGCCCTGTTTAGAAACAGGTAAGGTTTACTTTCTTTGTTTTACTAGTTCTGTCAATCACACACGGTTTTCAGCTATTCATAATAATGCTGGAAATTGAAAATCCTCGCTCATACTCGGCCAAGTCCTATACAGCTCATTTGAAATAATCAACACAGAAAGATACAAGGAAACGGATCAGAAAGCTGTCACAATCTTTCACTGCCCTGTTTAGAAACAGGGCATAGATTGCAATTTGAGGGTTGCAGAAAGCACCATCACCATATACAGGCGCGCACACACACACACACACACACACACACACACACACACACACACGCGC